ACAAAATCAAGTAACCTATGTGTTCTTCCAGACTATCTTCTACATGTATGCCAAATTTCATAGAGATCCCTTCAGCTGTTTATGCTACAAACTCTAACATCCATCCATCTAAACTTTCGCACTTATAACATTAGTAAGATTCTTCATTGGTTAATAGAAATACCAATTCTATAATATTCCTTTGTTTTAGGTGTGATGTACGGCTACAAGGGTCTTGTTTTGGTGTTCGGATTATTCCTAGCTTATGAGACGAGATCTGTTAAGATCCGCCAAATAAATGATTCGAGATACGTCGGGATGAGCATTTACAATGTAGTCGTGTTGTGCCTCATCACGGCTCCCGTTACACTGGTGATTGCAAGTCAGCAGGATGCCGCCTTCGCTTTTGTGTCCCTCGCTATCGTCTTTTGTTGTTTTCTCAGCATGGCTCTAATATTCATCCCAAAGGTATGTATTCCGCGTATCTGTATTACCCGTATGATACGTGTAAATTGAACACGAAACTTATTTCATTTAATACTAGGAATTATGTGCAGCCCAAAAGGTTGTTTCTTGATACGTTTCCCACCTAGCTAGTAATATAATTAAATTTAATTCTGGCACAGAGTCATAATTTTATTTAATGTGTGGAATCTTTCGTGATTCAAATAGCAAGTGTGACTCAAGTTACTGGTTGCATTTGTTTAACTGAAGTATTTATTTATTAAAAGGTAATAGAAGTAATTCGACATCCGACTGAGCGCGCTGAGAGTGGACGCGGCTCGGGCTCCGGTTCCACCCCTGCTGATGAAGAGCGGTACCGAGAACTTGTGAAAGAAAACGAAGAACTACAAAAGCTTATAGCTCAGGTACTGTGATACTTATCTTGTTTAAATTATATCCTTTACGTAATTGAATAACCTTAACACCTGATCGACCTTTTTGTAGAATTGCAATTGTTAAATCAGAATGTAACTACAATCTAGAAAATTATTGGAATTGAAGTACCAGAGGTTAGTTAGACACAAATGGCTAGGACTTCAAATGATCAAAATTCGCAGAAAGAAGAGCGCATACGCGTGTTGAAGCAGAAGTTAGCGGAGCGGGAGGCCGCAGCGGACGTGACGCAAGGTACGGGCGGCGGCGGAGGCGGAGGCGGAGGCGGCGGCGTGCTGGCCGACCTCGCCACCGCCACCTCTGACTATGGCACCTCCACCAACTACACGCGCTCCTCGCGCGCTTCCGTCTCCGATCTCGATTTCTCCGAGAGTTATCTATAAATCTCTTTGTTTCCTCACGCAAATCACCAGACATGGAATTGCGGAAAACATAGTCCCTTCTAATCCCCCTTTTTGATTCCCTTTGTCTGAATTAAGTCATACCCGTCAAAGCAACAAGTTTTAGCAGATTATAGTAATTTAATAATTCGAACTGAGTTTAAAGCTTATGATGTTTTTATGCAAGAATTTCTAAGCCTTAATTTAAAAACAATTTTTATAATTTATGTCCACGTTTAATACTAAAAAATGCCTCATTTTTATTACTTCAAAAATGTGCACAGCTTATACCTTACAAACCAAATAATCGAATATAACGAGTATGACTTTATTCAAAGTGATGTTTTTATCTAAATCTCTTTTAAATCTTAATCTTGGATTTGTTTGTTTGTGGTTTGACGAAACCCAATCCCAAATCGGGCATTGTCACTTCCCTTTACACCATTCGTCTTTAGACCTGTTATAAATTGTAAAATTGGTTGTACGATTTTTAAATTTTACGCAATAATTATAATATTTATAAAAGTTGTTATAATGTTAAATGTAAATTCAGTGATTAATAATTATTTAAGGGAATAATTAAATAAATATAATACTTTCCTAATCTGACCCCACTTTATCTTAAAAATGCACTTTATGTTTTTCTAAGGCCTAACGAACTTAATCCATTTATAGGTCCATACAAAACAAATACTAATTTTGAGTCTTCTTATCCTATTTATCCATCTTTGATATCATAGATTTTAAAATTACCATGATTTTAAATTACTTTATATACCGTAGTAAAAGTATATTTAATTCAATAAAGAAAATTTGTTAGTAAAATCATTCAAACGTATTGAACATAACACAAATAATTTTATTATTAAATTAATGTAATCATGATAAAAACTACAGTTCCTTAATCGATGAAAATAGAATCAATTGGACTTAAGGGTAAATTAGAGTAACACAATTATTAATTGAATTTTAGGCTGTACCACAAATTAATCAAAACATTCGCTTTATTCTAAATTATTCTCATTGAATTAAATTGTTATCTATTCAATAGAAATAATGTATATTTAATTATTAAGATCGAAATGAAATTTTAAAATTATCTCCCTATCCAATGATGTTCTACACCCATTGTCATCGTTTTACCTCACTCGTATTGTGATTGCACGAGAGCCCGACATCTGTAAATATCTTTAACCTATAAATTCCCACTAGACTGACTTAGAAATACTTCTAGTAATATGTGTTCTATTCATAAAGATGCTATACGATTGTAAACTTCACGTAAAGTAGCTAATTTCTTGTAAATTTTTCGTAATTTAGCCTGTTTGATACATCTGAATCTTTATAGACAACTGTTATTACTAAGATGCGCTACAACGATTTAAATTTATGCTTTTTAATATTTAAAAAAGTATATAATTGATGCAAAATGTCTTCTTATCACGTTCATAATTTATTAGCACAATTTATAAATCATTAGATAGAGTTTAGATTTATAAATCATGGGAGATTAAATCATTGCTGAATAATTTCTTGTACAAGGTTTGTGCTCGTTCACGTAGCGTATTAATTTTAATATTTCTTAATGAAAGCATTATTTTATGCTGTTTTATAAACACTTTTATTTTGTAATGTTAATTCATGCAGTCAAATCTCGTTAACACATACTTGAGCTATGTTTACAATTGTTATTTAAGACGGATAATTGTAATGTATTTAATAAAAAACATTATAAAAATTGTTTCAGTTATTAATTGGCATAAGTTTTATTTGACTAAATTTTTTTTTCATTGTGAAGAGAAAAAGATCATTGAAAATCGATAGATTTCTATCGATTAATTATAGGTATGTTTTCCGATTATAACGTAAGTAGTTATTTGGAAATTATCCGATTGCCTGTAGCCCCCTGAGTGTTGTGTTCTGTCCGATGTTTTGCATGGTCCCCTCCACTGCACTTGGTCACTGTCAGCTATGTAGTGTCACTTTTACTTGGACCTCTTTTTAAATTATTTTAATCTTCAGATCTGAAATTCGTGGAATTAAAATACTGAAATAGATATGTTATCGATTTTAAACAAAATAGATCTTTCTTAAATCTTTGTCTGGATTGAATCGTTTTCGTTATACGATTACTTTTGTTAAAAATATTATCTTTTCAATCGTTTACATTTTCTCATCTTGTTTCATTAAATATTAATTTATATATTAAACAATTCTTCAATATGCTGGGTAACGAGATTTCCTTGCATGAAAATTGTTATTCGAGTTGCGCTTATTTTTAGACATGACTTTTTTTATTACGAATGTGAAAAAATTTAAACCATCAAAATACATTCACGCGATTTAATAAAACTTATTAAATAAGTAAACTTTTTCAAGTACATTTAACTTAATTTAAATTTACCTTTATTAATATAGATGAGTATTCATATATTTATTTGCTGCTTACTAAAATATATTGTTATTTTAATTGTTTATTTTTTTATTATTTTATCCTTAAAGGTATGGCAAGCATAACAGTTGTAGTTAATTTTTTAAAGCTTTTTGAAGTATAACTAAAATGTTCTTTTTCTCTCTCGACAGATGTACAGGACGAACACGTCTAGTTGCTTGCGTGGCTCATCGATAACTGACGGTTTTAGTTATAAAAATATTCTTAATGGTTTTTTTTTCTTTCTTAAGATTAATATGAAGTGTTCTTATAAAATTAGATGATTCTTGATAACGAATTATTGAATGAAAGTATGTTTAAGTTGTCAACGAATGTCAGATTGTAAAATGAAGTTAAGGGTTAAGTTAAAATAGTATTATGTAACTTTTATTTAAAGAAGGGTATTTTAAGGTAACGTTGGTTGTTCAGTACCTATAATTATGTTTTTTTTTTTAATGTTTGTGCACTTTGTTTTGTGGCATTACAATTTAAATCATATACAGATATTTAAAAAAAAATAGCAAAATTTACAAACATCTATAATATCAGATTATGTATTTATTTACAGATTTCTTCACATACAATGTTAAAAATAAAATAATTATGATTTATTATAGATAAATGTTCTTATATCAATAAAAATATGGTAAACCGGCATTAGTTAAAAGTTATAAAATTCCTTCAGACTTTTTACGTACGCTTAGGGCATGTCCCACCAAATGGTGAATTGATAACAATGCAACGTGTAAAATATGTGGTGGAAATAGCGGATTTTATTCCATTATCTGAAAGTGACGTCATTTTTAAGCTATCTGAGTCTCTATCAGCCGGTGATGGGACAGGCCTTTAAATTAATAAGTACCTGAAATTATAATTATTTACATTTATCCCAAAACAAAGTGTGCGTTTATTTTGACAGTGAAACTGTAGTGAAATGTTGATATGAGTAAAATGAAATAAACCTCTAACAATTTCAGTTTTACGAATGATATTTGCTCAGTACTGTTTAAAAAGTTGACAAGAACTGTTAATTATTGTAGAATAGAACTTTAAAAATTGTTAACAGCTAATGTTACTGATTTTATTATAATCCATCCTACATAAAAATAATTTAACTTTATGTGAAAAGAAATATGCAAGAATTGTATAAATTTAAACGCAATTTAGGAATATTAAATAAGTACTCAAAAAAAATAATCATACGTCAAATAAAAATATGCGAATAACCGTAACCATCTGAAGTTAGCTACGTATTGTAAATGAGGGAGATGAACGTATTCGAAATAACTGTGAAAACGAAAGAGATAGATGCTATACCTCTGCACCCTCGTCTGCGGAACTTTTTGTGGTTAACTTCAGATATGAAATTTTATGGCGAGTACCTTATCTTACATATCACACTACCGTTCAATAAGTGAGAATAATTGTTCTAAAGGTGTTGAATGACGCAGTAGAGGATATTAATTTCCTGGTCCTTTCAGACATTATCTAGGTGTAAAGGTCATCGTTCAGTAGACCACTGAGTCACCTGGAGTTTTTTAATCTTAATGTATCGTGCTCCTCTCGTCTTATGATGATTTATGGATTTCCAGTGATAGTCGATGCCAAAATACGAGGGAACGGAACGTAAGGTTGATGTATGGATGCCGGATATTAATTGCGTGAAAGGGAATTATTTATAGGACTGAGAGGAAATCTTCATAAAGATATCGTCGAAGATAAATGGCGATTTAGTATAAAACATAGAAAAGTTAAAAGCCTGAAATCTATAATACCGGTTTAAAATCCTATCATAGATTGTAAAAATATGCCAGTTTTTTCTTTACCTAGTCATTGTTAAGATGTTTTCAAATCTAAATTTATCCGTCGTTTTTGAGGTTATATCCTTAAGACAGTACAGGAACACTGCCACTACTAAAATTATAGAAAAGAATCTCGTATAAAAAACCTTAATACGAGACTAATAGAAATATAGAAATAGATTGGTAAGATTCCTTTATTTAAAACCACTTTAGCTTTTCATGTTAAATTGGATGTCGCATAATTTTTGCAAAAAACATTGTTTTAGTGATTGTCGTTTTAGACAATTATCATTTATATACGTGTATTTTGTAGTTTAGTATTTTTGGTGTAATTAAATCGTTTAATTGTGCAATGTTTAATTTTATTTCTTTGATTGTATGTGTCAATTTTTATGTAATGTTTTAACCTGTAATATCGGCCTTTAGTCAAGATTTGACTGCATAGAATTATATATTGTTTTGAGTTGTTGAATTTTATTATAAGAATATATATTTATTGAATTTCTAAATTCTTAGCACAATGTTGTCGTTCAAAATTTTATAAACTTCGAACGTGTTCAGAGATGTGCTTAGACTATTTAAGTTAAAACTGAAATAGCTAGTGAATTGTTTTATTTTTACTCTAGATAACTTTCTGTGATGTTTGTTAATTTAATATTAGAATGAATCACCAGGAAATCATCATTGTAAATAAAGAATCATTGGATGATCTAAGTGTGAAGTTTTGTTTTATTTAAAACCTTTTTTTAGTACCATTTACGTTATGGGTATCGCCATGCGATGGTCTTTATAACAAAGATTTATTTATTTATTTACACCAACAAACATACAATATAACAATTCAAATATAATTTTACAAATACATTTCTCACGATTTTTTTCACTTTTAATTTTAAATTCGGTATTTTGTTCAATTATATGTATTATTGGCTACTTTACTAGATTGATTCCCTGTATTAAAGGAGCCA